ATAATCAATATTCGAAAGTGAAACAATTTAAAAGAATTTTCAGTCATAATTTCAATTATAATAATTATCGTCATAAGTTTAATTTATATAATTCTTTTTTTTTATTTCTAACACTGTGTGTGTTGGACATTTTGACAAAAAACAACAGAGAATTGCGATAAGATAAAATTGTTTGCGCGATTTTAAAATTATGTACATTTATTTGAAGTGACAGGTTATAAAGCAATTAAAAAACCTAATAGTTTTCAATGAATGAATTTGAAAAGAATTAAGGAATCAAAACAAAGTAATCAGCTGATTTGAAGAAAACAAAAACGGAGTAAACATCACTGAACAAATTTTCCTCTATCGTATGGCGTCCTGAACTAATCGTGTAAATAAAATCGATGTTTACATGCGTTTTTACTTTAAAAAACCAAAAAAATACGTAAAGAACACTTTTTACCGAATTTTATTTTTAACTTTCTTCATATGCGAATCTTCATCTAAAAACACAACTAAACTTTCTATGAGAAACAGGTGTTCTGGAAAAGAGGAGGGCATTACAAAAAAAATCCAATTATCGATAGGACTGATTTAATTAGAAGCCCCTTTGCATAAATATCTGTTTAGACGATGGGTCGATTTACAATTTACAACCACTCTTTAACAAGGAGGGGAAAAATATAAAAAAAAGCTGATAATTTTATTTCCTTACCGTATGACCATTGCGGGATCCGTGTTAGAGCCAATTTTGCTGTTGCGATCGACAAACTCCACGGGAGCCACTTTGAAACACGTTCACAAAAGTGAAAAATTTATTTCCAACACCAGAGTCGATGTTTTATTTAAAGAGAATTTCCGAATCATTGATTATTTTATTTACAACGCACGAATAAGTTTGTAAAAATTGTTTAATAATAAATAAGTCACACGATTATTCATGTTTACGAGTCTTCTTACGAGACTCTGTATTGACCACAACAGAGAAATTCATATAGAACGCCAACTTTTTGTCCCGAAATTTTTTTTTTTTGATCAATGAAAATTTTCACTCTTTCCCCAGCAATGTTTATTAAATTAGATTAAATTCACACGTTCCCGTAACGAAATGAATAATTGTGCCCGGTTCGTTTCTGTGCGCGAAAACAACAATTGTTTTCGCGTTGCAACGAGTGTTAACAGGCCACAACACGCTGCGAAACAAGGACACACAAGGACGGAAGTGTGAGTGCGCTTCGCGGAGAAAAAAAAGTAATCAAAGGCGCAACAATACTATATACCCTATGCAGGGCAGGGATTATTATTGTTTAGTTACTGGCGTCACCGTACGAGGAGCTGTTATCAGTCTGGCCCAAAAGAAACTCGAGAGACCCAAACAAAAGTAAAAATTTATGTAACAAACTAACCTAGTCGTATGATAATTTTTCTAAAGCTATACTTATTTCTAATTCAAATAAATTACTTTCTCTACACTGTATATTCACTTATTGTCCATTCGAACTGCAAATTAAATATTAAAATGAAAAATTTAGTTTTTCTGCCTAAGGCTGGAGTCCCATGGTAGCGTTTTGCGTTGCGTTTTGTAACTAGGCAATGAGTGCAAATAGAGCAAACCTATATCTGTATCTCTCTCACACTCATGGCCTAGTTACAAAACGCAACGCAAAACGCTGTCATGGGACTCCAGCCTAAGTCTGAACTCTGAACGACGACACCTGGTGGTCGTGGTATGAAACTTTAAAGATAAAGAAGAATTATTTATGAATCTATACAATGTTGCAGAAAATTTATCTCTAGAAATTTAGGAAACTTAAGTAGAGCAAGTGAGTTAATTTAATTTTTACTTACTTTGATTGTTTTTACTTGATTGTGTAATTGTAAATATCACTTCAATCTTTTAAAAGTCCCTCCTTTTCGTCATCTCATTTTCAATTAGCTGAAGGAATGGAAAACGGAAAAGTTATTGGCTGTTGAATTAATTTGGACAATAAAAAAAGGTGTGACCGTGCTAGCGTTTTCACTTTCCACACCCTGGGTATATGAACAGAGCTTTAGATCCATCTACTGCTAACTTCACTCCAGTGATTTACGGCAACAAACATTTGTTTACATTTTTTTTAAATAAAAAAAAATTAATAAACAAAAAAATACCTGAATAAACTTTAAAAGAAAAAAAGTATTAAATAAAAGAAGAAAATATAAACGAAAATATAAAGTATAGTGAAATTTCCAAGTATTTATAATTCGCATATTCCTTTTTCCTTTTCCAAAATGTCAAACATAACCTATAAATGTTTAAAGTCAGAGAGTGATTTTCTAATGTTATGAAATGTTATGAATTATGATAATGATTAACTTTTAGGTTTTTTTTTTAATTTCCACTAGTTTAAAATTTTAAATTCGCTATTACTAGAAATCAAAAAACTATTCTTAAAAATTATAATCAAATTCTATAAAAAAATTCAATTATTTTCAAAAAATATTCGAAATTCAATTATTTGCAAAAAATATTATAAATTCCATTATTTTCAATATCTAGTATTTTCATAAAATTTCGCAAAACGATTCAATTATTTAAAAGAAAATTGACAGAGTTTAATTATTTTCATAAATAATCAAACTTCCACCGAAATTCAATTAATTTTAGAATAGCAATTTCAAAAAAATTTCGAAAAAATCAATTATTTAACAAAATTGTTATACAATTCTTCACAATAATTCAATTACTTTCACTAATAATAAGATTTTTTATGGAAATTCAATTAAAAAAATTTTTTTTTTATTAAATTCTAAACAGAAATACAATTATTTTCATAAATAATAAAACTCATCGAAGAATTTCAATTATTTTTAATACTATTTTAAATTAATTAATCGAAAATTTTAATTATTTTCAAAAATAACAAAATTTTTTACAGAAATTCAATTCTTTTAAAACATTTTAATAAAATTTTTCGCAAAATTCAATTATTTTCATAAATAAGAAAATTCTTCTCAGGAATACAATTATTTTCATAAATAAGAAAATTCATCGCAGGTTTTCAATTGGCATTTCAATTAGCAACGTTTGCTAAGAATTTTATTAGAATATTCAAAAATAATTGAATACTGTTCAATTATTTTCATAAATAATAAAATTCATCGCTGTTCGTAAATTGTACGATAAAATTTGTAGAATTTTAGAGAAATTACAAATTATGTATTGTAGAGATTCAATTATTTTTAAAAGTAAGAAAATTCTTCGCAAAATTTCTATTATTTTCAAAAAATTCCCTCAATTAAATGATTTTTAATATCTACTATTTTAATAAAATTTTCCAAAAAAATTTAAATATTTAAAAAAAATTTAATGAAATTCTACGCAAACCTTTAATAATTATTTTCATAAAATAATAAAAATTTCACAGAAATTTAATTATTTACAAATTTTTTTATAAATTTCTTCGCAATCATTCAATTATTTTTAAAAATAATAAAATTTTTACATGGATTCAATTATTTTCGTAAATAATAAAATTCTTTCTAGGAATTCAATTATTTTCATATATAATAGAACTCATTACAAAATTTCAATTATTTTTAATATACAATTTTAAACAAATTCCCCGAAAAATGTAATTATTCTTAAAAATTTTATTAAATTTCGTCAAAAGAATTCAATTTTTTAAAAATTTATTAATAAAATTCTTTATGAGAATTCAATTTTAAGAAACATGCAATTATTCAATAAATTTTTTTTGTAAGCATTAAAGAGTGAATTTTTAGAAAAAATTGAATTTTGAAAATGTTTCAAATATGAATTTTTATGTTTTTAACTAACAATTCTGTGTAATTAATTTTTTTTTAGAAAGTTTAATTGATGATTTTTTTAAAAATTATTTGAAGTTTTTATTTTCTAATATATATTTAATATTGAAGAATTTACAAATAATTAGAATTTTGTAAAATTGAATTGTAAACAAATGAATTTAAAAATTCTCAAAGACCTTTTTCATAAATATTATTAAAAAAAATGAATTTATAGAAGAATTTTGGTTAAAACACTAAATAAAGATTTAATTTTGGAAAAGTTACAAATTATTGCAGAAATTCAATTATTTTCAAGAGTTATAATATTCTTCGCAAAAATTAAATATTGTTAAAAAATAATAAAATTCTTTTTAGGGACTCAATTATTTTCACAAATAATAAAACTAATAGCAGAATTTCAATTATTTGTAATACAAATTTTTTTTATGAGATTGATTCGGAAAAATTGTTAACTTCTTTAAATAATTAAATTATTGTAGAATTTTCTAATAAAAATTGATTTAAAAATGAATTTCAGTTAAAATTTTAGATAATAATTGAATAATAAAATTATACGTTTTTTATATTATTTTCAATTTTTATTTGAAGAATAAAAGAATTGTATGATTTACGAATAATTGAAATTTCGTAAAATAAAATTGAATATTGTAAAGAAATGGATTTGAAAATTTTTAAAGAACTTTTTCGAAAATTATTAAAAATAATTGAATTAAAGAAGAATTTTTGTTAAACATTTCTTGAAAATAATAATTAAAAATTTAATTTATTTTGGTAATGATTTTATCATTCGGGTATCTTCATGTTTGATAGTTATGGAAAATTTAATTTATAGTTTTACTTTTAAGTAAAATGTTTTTTTTTTTTACTCGGACTGGTTATATATTTGTCAATAATTGGTCCGTAATTTTTCATTTTTGGTCCGTAGAGTCCGTATTTTTAAATATTTCCACTGGTTCAAACCCTGTTTAAGTACAAAAAAGTGATAAAATAATTCAATATTTTTAAAAATTGCAATTATAACTCTTCCTTTGGATTTTTTTAAATTAATAATTAAATATTTTTTAATTAAAAAAAATGTTACTTGTTTTAAAAATTGAAACAAATTTGTAGGATGAGAGTATAAGATTAGAAAAAAAATTTTCTATACTATTTTGAATTCCTCTAAAATATATAAATAATAATAATTTTTAAAAATAACACAACTGAAATTCTTGCTTTCTCCAAAGAGTTTTAATAACTCTTTTTTTTTATTTTAAAATTTAAACTACAATATTTAATAAAAATTAAGAATACAATTGATAAAAATGAGATTACACGTAAAAAGATCAATTTTTAGAAAAAGAGTTTTCGTAAAATTATACTTATAATATAATATAAATCAAAACGCTTCAATTTTCCAATATTCACATATTATATAAATGTCGAAATGATAATATTCAGAACACTTTGGTACATAATTCATTATCGTGTAAAAACAATTCTTCTATTTTCTATATTATTGACAATATACATTTTTACATATCATCACATTTCACATTATTAATACATAAAAAAGGTAGAAAAAAAAAGAATTTTTATCCTTACCGTTCGCGTTTTGATAATTCACTATCGTTTTTTTATACAATCAACATTATCTCGCATTTAATTCTATATTTATCAATATCACTAATTCTTAGAAAAAAAACAAAAATTGAAAAAAAAAGTTTCTATAGAATTTACAGTAGTTAAAAATTTTTATTAATTACCTATTTTTACTGTGAAACATTTTCCAAGAAATTTGTGAAACATCCAAATGTTTTTAATTATGCGTAAACAAATTTTGATATTTATATTAAATATGATTTTCGCATTTTTTTACTTATTGATGGTAAGATTATTTATAAACCAATTTTTTTTTAATTTCGTATTTTCCTATTCGTTATTCTTTTTTCATCATTAAATTTGAAACAGCAAATTAGCTGTAATATTCTATACAACAGTTTCTTTATGAAAGGCATAATGAGCCTTTGCAATCTTTCATCACTTATTTTTCATCATCATCATTGATCTTCGCGTTAATCTTCCGCAAAAAAGACCACTGACAAATATCATACCAATCATTGATAATGCGACAATTATGAAATATCTTCTTGCCGGTGAACGATTTACTGAATCGTATAATTCTTCAATTGAATTCGGCGCTATAGCCTGAAAATATTTTAAAATTAAATTAATTATTAAATTATTAAATTAATTAATTAAATTAATAAAATTAAATGAATTTGTATAGTTTAGATAAGACTTGAATTAATTAATATAATTTAATTTAAAAATTGGAGTCATTAACCCTTTGAGGACCAGTGATTTTTGCAGGCAATATGAACAGGGTTTTTTTTTAGATTTCACCCACTAAAAGCTATTATTTCTGTTTTTTTAGAATTTTCACATGTTTAAATTCGCTAATACTAGAAATAAAAAACTATTCTCAAAAATTATAATCAAATTCTTTAAAACCATTCAATTATTTTCAAAAAATAATCGAAATTCAATTATTTTCAATAATTAGTATTTTCATCAAATTTGGCAAAACAATTCAATTCTTTAAAAAAAATTGATAAAATTCATCCAAAATTCAATTATTTTCATAAAGAATAAAATTTCCACAGAAATTCAATTAATTTTAGAATAGCAATTTCAAAAAAATTTCGAAAAAATCAATTATTTAACAAAATTGTTATACAATTCTTCACAATAATTCAATTAGGTACTTTCACTAATAATAACATTTTTCATGGAAATTCAATTATTTAAAAAAATTTTGAATAAAATTCTAAGCAAGAATTCAATTATTTTCATATATAATAAAACTCATCGAAGAATTTCAATTATTTTCCCAAATGAAATTTTCCACTAGAATTCAATTATTTACAAAAATAACAAAAATTTTCACAGAAATTCAATTCTCTTTAAACATTTAAATAAAAATTTTCCCAATAATTCAATTATTTTCATAAATAATAAAATTCATCGCAGGTTTTCACTTATTTTTAATACAATTTTACAGGATTTGCTCTACAAATTTAATTTCAATTCCTCAAAAAATCAATTAATTAAAAAAAAATGCTTTTTTAAAATTTATTGGAAGAATTCAATTATTTACAAAAATATTAGAATTTTTCACATGAATGCAATTATTTTCAAATAATTTAATGAAATTGCTCAAAAGAAATCAAATTTGAAATACAATTTTAATTAAATTTTTTGAAATAATTCAATTTTTCTTTTCGATTTTAATAATTAATTCTTCCCAAGAATTTAATTATTTGCATAAATAATTCTTCGAAAGAATTCAAATATGTCGATAGATAACAAAATTATTACCGAAAATTCAATTATTTTGAGGAATTTTAATAAAATTCTTTGCAAAATTCAATTATTTTCATAAATAAATAACAATATTCATCACAAAAATTTAATTATTTTTTTAAAAGTAATAAAATGCTTTTTAGGAATTCATTTATTTTCATAAAAAATTTAATAAAATGCCACACAGACAAAAATTGTAATAGAATTCTTTGTAAAACTGAATTATTTTTAAAAACTTTTCGCAATTCAATGATTTTCAATATCTACTATTTTCATAAAATTTCCAAACAGAATTCAATTATTTAAAAAATGTTTTTTTTTAAATATTTGTAAGAATTCAATTCTTTTCATGTATAATAAAAATTAAGGGGACAGATGCAATAACAGACGAGGCGCTCGAACTGATTCGAGCAAAAAATTGTGTAAATTAAGAAAAATAATTTTGAGAAAACTTGTGCTTTATTTAATTTCTTCTTCTCTTTCGAGAAAATTTATTTGACAGATAAGTTTTTCATTTTCTCGTTGTAGTGAGAGATCAGTCCGAGCGCCTCGTCCGTTATTGCATCTGCCCCCTCAATTTCTCACGAATTCAATTATTTAAATTAGAATTTGCATGAAATTGGTCGAAAAAAATCAATTATTTAAATTTTTTTTATAAAATTCATCGCAATAATTAAATTATTTTTATAAATGTTTAAATTCTTTGATGAATAATAAACTTCGTTCAAGGAATTCAATTTATTAGCAGAATAAGAAAGAAGTAAATATTTTTGATGAAAATTAGGAAAAAGTCAGGAAAATAAAATATAGAATGGAATTTTTGTCAGTTTTGTGAAGTTTCTAAAACGAGTTTTTTCTGTCGTCAAGTTTAATTTTAGAAATTTTTAGAATATTTTAATTTTTTAAAAACATTTTTGAAATATTTTAATAATTCAAATTCTTCTGAAATTAGTAAAAATTTTTAATATATATATTTAACTAATTATTAAAAATACTGGATTTTAGTTGTAAACACTAAAAAAATTCTTGAAAAAATTTCAATTATTTTGAAAAACTTTCTAGTATTTTCCATAAAATTTTTAAAAAGAATTTAATTATTAAAAAAAAAACGTTGATAAAATTCTACGCAAAAATTTAATTATTTTCATAAATAATAAAAATTCCACAGAAAATCAATTATTTTTAATTCATAAATAAAATTTTTATCGAATTCCTCGAAAAATGTAATTATTCTTAAAAATTTTATTAAAATTCATCGAAAGAATTCAATTTTAAGAAACATTCAATTATTTAATAAATTATTTATTTTTGTATTTAAATAATTTAATTCTCGTAGAATTTTGTAATAAAAACTGATTTAGAAATGAATTTTAATTAAAATTTTAAACAATAATTGAATATTAAAAGCATTTTAGTATGGATTTTTAGAAATAATTGAATTTTGAAAAGGTTTCAAATTAAAATCTTTGAAAATCTGAATTTTTCATACTTTTAACTAACAATTTTGTAGAATTATTTTTTTTCTTTAAAAAGTTCAATTAAATTTTTTTTGAAATTATTAGAAATTTTTATTTTCTAATACATATCTATTTAATTCAAGAATTTGCGAATAAACGATGAAATTTCGTAAAATTGAATTGTAAACAAATGGATTTGAAAATTCTCAAAGAACTTTTTCAAAAATTATTAAAAATTGATTTAAAGTAGAATTTTAGTTAAAAATTCTTGAAAATAATAATTGAATTGAAATGATGAAAATATTTTTGAAGAAGTTACAGTAGCAATATTCTTATAATATAAAATTATGATTTTACCACTCGGTCATCTTTAATTATTATAAGTTTGAATTAAAAATTTTTGAAAATCCTAATTACTTATGGAGAAATAATAATGAGGGATCTCAATAATGATTGAATATTTGTTTCAAAAATAAAAGTTATTGATGTTTTCGAATAATTTTACAATTAAAAAAATTCGTAAATAAAGGTAGTAGAACATATTTTCGAGTATCTAATAATTTTTAGAGTAAATGAAAATATTCTTCAGTGTCAGGGAAAAAGTCAAATTTTTTCTGTAAATCAGAGATAAACAAAATTAAATTTTTGTGGTAACCCTGATGAACATTTTTCGATAACTCGTTCACAACTTTCTTGATTTTAAAAAGTGAATATTGAAATAATATTTTATTTTATTTTATTTATTTTTATATATTTTTTTTTATTTATTTATTTAAAAAAAATTTTTTTTTTATTTTATTTTTTTTTATTTTTTATTTTTATTTTTAATATTTTTTCTTCAACCCTAGTAAATATTCTATTCCAAACTTTGGTCTCCAAATAAAAAAATCTTAATAACTTTCCCTGTATAAAACTTGTTCAAAAATCAAAAATTGCGATTTTTTAAGAAAAAATTCGGTCCTCAAAGGGTTAATTGCTTCGAATTTGTATTATTTATAATTGTTAATTAATTAAATTAAATGAATCATTAAAAGATAACAAGTATTTACCTTCGCAGCACTTCTGAACATTTCCATTCTCATCGTAAGCATTTTAAAGCAATCTGGTTGTAAAGATTTTTTGGAATCTTGTAGAACATTTTGTAGACAAGTTATATCTGAAAACAGATTTGAAATTACGTTCTTGAACGAAGGAAGATTTTCGAAAAAATAATAATTATAATAAAGTGGAAATTACAAAATCAAAACGTTTTTAAAGATTTAATATGAAAAAACAATAAATAACAGAAAGATTTACAATTTAATATTTTTAAAAACTTCGTTAATTGACGCCTTTTAACTTTTTTAAAAACGAAAACAAAAAATAATGCGACAATTTATTTTCTCTTCAAATTCATGTTATTTTTTAACAATTGTCTTTTAACAAATATAATGCAAAAATTTTTCAAAAATTTACGGACAAGAAAATTAAAGATGAATTTAATTGAAAAAAATTCTTTTTCGATTATTAGTTTTTAAAAACGTTGTGAATTTCACCAACATTATAGTTATTTTGCTTTTTTTTGTGTTTATCCACAATTAATGGAAAATTAAATTCCTTCAGTATTAATTTTCTATTTGTTGTAATTGCAAAAGAAAAAAGTGAAATGTTAATTAATTAAACTAACGCCTTCCTGCTCCCTGTGGAACGTCACTGCAATATTTCGTAACATCCACTGCGCAAGCCGTTTGCAAAAGAGGATCAACGTGAATATCCGCTCTCGCTTCCTCTATAAGATCGGCAACTTGCATTCTACATTCTTCTCTCATTAATTTATTGTCCGCATTGAATTCCTTCTTTAGACACTCCTCAACTGATCCAGGCTCATTTTCTTCTGCCCCGCAAATTGTATCGATCTAAAAAAAAAGAAATTATTACAAATACTCAATTTTTGTCACCACCATTTGTGAAATAATTTACTTGTTGAAATAGTTTACTTATCAATACTTTATTTATTCAGAAATAAATTAAATTAAACAGTAAATTAATTTACTGTTTAATTCATAAGCAATTTCTTTTTAAATTAAAAATTAATTTATGTAGAATTAATAATAACTTTATTTTAAACTAGCATTAGATATGCACGTGCACATTCGCAGTCAATTATTAATTGAATGCAATACAATTGAGCATTAATTAAAACTATACAATTTATGCTCTCATTTATTTTCATTATCAATTTTAACAAAATAATTAAAGAAAAAATTAATGAATTGTACCAAACAATATTATTTTCATAATATTTTTAATGTTTGTTTGAACCAAAAATATAACATTGATTTTTTAACAATAAAAATTGTATATTATTCCCAAGAATCGGTTCGCGAAATGATTCGATTTTTACTTATATTGAAGTGGCGGCAAGGGACAGCTTTTCAAAAATTTATCCATTATAAAGAGATTAAGTTCCTTATAAATATTACGTAACAATGATGATTGACCTCCCCCCCCTCCCATGTAACATATGATAACATTTTCTCGAACCCCCCCTCCCCCCTAAACGTGTTACGTAATTTATGGACAGCCCCTTATAAAATAATATTAATTTCCGTATTCTTTCATTCATCCTGTCCGAAGTTTCAAGTCAGTTTCTGTGTATGCTTTTGTTTTTTTTTCTTTAAAAACTATTGTTTTACAAATCGAAAATATTCCGGTATTTTTTCATGATTTATAATAAGATAATATTAGAAATTAGAAAGTTAAAAAAAATTATGATTAACAAATAAAGAATACACCCATTCTGTTTGTTATATGCTTTTTTCTGTAACAAATTTCGTTTGACTGATCTAAATTATTATGCAAATTATTCTTCTTTTTATTTATAAAAAATACTAGAAAATTATTAATTTGTTAAAAAATTTTAATTAAAAAGTAGGAAATATACCCATTTTATGCATAATTTTTATGTCTCAATAACAATATTGTTTACAAACTCATTTTTTTCTTTTGGGAAAGAAAAACATTAGATATTCCCGTTTCTTAATATTTTTCTAGAAAATTCTCAATTTTCATAAAGAAATAATTTGCATCAATTCTATTTCTTAATTTCAATTGTTTTAATAAAATTCAAAGTTTTTTTAAAATAGAGGAAAAAAATGTTTATAAATTATATTTGTCAATTTTAAAAATTTAATTGAAAATGAAACTGAAAATTTTTGAATTTTTAGAAAATAAAGGAAAAAATGTTATTGAAAAAAAATATTCTGTTAAATTTATTTACGAATATCTTTAATTGTAAAATTGTTCGAAAACAATAATTTCTTTTTTTAAATATTTTAAATATTTAATTACATATTATTTTTCCGTAGGAATTAAAATTCTTCAAAAAATTCAAATTCAAAACATTTTGAAATTAATCAACTTTAAAAATATTGTGTGTGATCGATTTCTTCATGTTTAAAAAAAATTAAAGAGGATCGAGTGATAATTTTCAAATCAATTTTTATTACAATTGAATGTTTCTTTATATTTAATTCTTATAAAGAATTTTATTAATACATTTTTAAATAATTGAATTCTTTTGACGAATATTAATAAAATTTTTTAGAATAATTAAATGTCTGTGTGTCATTTTATTAATTTTATTTTTAAAAATAATTGAATTTCTGAAAAGCATTTTATTATTTATGAAAATAATTGAATTCTTGCGAACGATTTTATTAGAATTTTTTAAAATAATTGAATTTCGAAGAAAAAATTTATTACTTTTAAAAATAATTAAATTCTTGTGATGAATAATGTTATTTATGAAAATAATTGAATTTTGCAAAGAATTTTTATTTAAATGCCTCAAAATAATTAAATTTTTGGGAATAATTTTGTAATTTATCGACATAATTGAATTCTTTTGAAGAATTATTTATGTAAATAATTGAATTCTTGGGAATAATTTTATTAAAATCTAAAAAATAATTGAATTAAAATTGTATTTAAAATTATTGATTTCTTTTGAACAATTTTATTAAAATATTTGAAAATAATTGAATTCCTATGAAAAATTCTAATAGTTTTGTAAATAATTGAATTCTTTTAAAGAATTTTAAAAAACAGTTTTTTAAATAATTGATTTCTTCGAGGAATTGAAATTAAATTTTTTAGAATAATTACATTTCTCGAGCAATTCCTGTAAAATTGTTTTAAAATAATTCAAATCCTGCGATGAATTTTATTATTTATAAAAATAATTGCTTTGTTAAGAATTTTTAAAAATTTTCAAAAATAATGGAATTCCTGAGAAGAATTTTATTAGTTATGAAAATAATCGAATTATTGCGAAAAGTTTTATTGAAAATGTTGAAAAACAATTGACTTTCTGTGAAAAATTTTGTTAATTTTGAAAATAATTGAATTCTAGTGGAAAATTTAATTTGTGAAAATAATTGAATTTTTCTATTAATTAGTTTAAAATAGTATTAAAAATAATTGAAATTCTTCGATGAATTTTATTATACATGAAAATTAAAAATAATTGGAATTCTTCGATGAGTTTTATTATTTCTGAAAATAATTGAATTATTAAGACGAAACTTATAAAAAAATTTGTAAATATTTGAATTCCTGTGAAATTTTTATTATTTTATGAAAATAATTAAATGTTTGCGTACAATTTTATTAATATTGTTTTTAAATAATTGAATTCTTTTGGGTAATTTTATTTAAATAATAGATATTGAAAATGATTGGAATGAAGAAAATTTTTGAAAATAATTAAAATTTGTCAAGAATTTTATTAGAATTTTTGAAAATAATTGAATTTTGAAGAATTTTTTTATTTATAAAGATAATAATTGGTATTTTGTCGAGATTTTTTTGTAAATTTTGAACATAATTGAATTTTGTGATAAGAATTTTATTACTTTTGAAAATAATTAAATTTCTGCAATAATTTGTAACTTCTTCAAAATTAATTTTTTTAGTGTTTTTAACTAAAATTCTTCTATAAATCCATTATTTTTATAATTAATTAAATATACTTTAAAATTTTACTAATTTCAGAAGAATTTGAATTATTAAAATTTTTCAAAAATCTAAGTTATTCTTTAAATTTTCTAATTTAATTCATTAAAAAATTGAAATTTTATAAAATTTCAAATTGAAACTGTTTGAAATTAATTTATTTATGAAAATTGTAAACGCAACTCTTTGCAAATATTTTTATAAAAAACAATTTGATTAAAGATTTTTACGTTCTATTATTTTTAAAATTGCTAATTTTATTTAAAAAAAAATAATTGTTTGGTACAATTAATTAATTTTTTCTTTAATTATTTTGTAATCAGATTTACTTCTGTTTGTAGTACAAACTTAATTCTGATTTTATTTTAAAAAAATTAATAAAGATAATTGAGATTAGCGTAACAAACATTGAGATAGTTAAATAGAAATTATGCCAATTTTTCTAATTTATTTTTAAAAAATTGTAATTTTCATTAAAGGATAAATACTTAATTTATTTAGAATTTTTCAATTAATTTATTGAAAGTTAATAATAAATTTAATTTTAAATTAATAATTGATTGAAGATTTTCAAAGGCAAAAGCAGTTTTCATAAATTTATGAAATTGATTACTTACTTCGTTGGCACATAGTGTGGCTAATAAAGGATTTAAATGATAGTTCAGAGCAGCTTCTCGTAGAACATTTGTCATTTGATGCTCACATTTCGTACTCAATTTTGATTCTCTGAATTTAATTTTAAGACACCTAATAACTTTCCCCTCTAGTTCTCTATCCATAGGCTCGTTTTTCAAAACCTAAAAGAAAAAGAAAGTTTCATTTAAAAAAAATCAAGTACTTCATAGAAAATTAAATCTATTATTTTTTAAAAAAGTAATTTTTTGTCTCCTTTATTGTTTTAAAAATATATTTTTTTTTTTAAATTTCTTTCATTTTTTTACCTCTTTGCAATGCTTATTTATATCCGATGAGCAGGAATTTTGCAACGCTGTATTAAATCGATAATCTGTATTCTGTTCAATCATTCTTTGAATAACGAAATTTTTGCATTTTTCATCAAATGTTGAATCGTCTTTATATTTCTTTAAACAATCCAATATTTGCGATCGTTCTACTTTGTGACAAAATTGTGCCACCATTGAATGACAGTTATTCAATAAAGCATAATCAATGGAACTGTCTTCAAACTCTTGTTTTCGTACTTTAAACAACTGTTTACGACAATCCATTGATAGATGGGATTTTTGTGTTGCCAAACATTCCAGAATCTGCGAGGAAAAATTATAATTTCACAATTACAGGCTTCACAGTGCCAATAAAAAGTATTTTAGGAGAAATGAAAATAGGGGACTTTTAGGGGATCATAAAAATTAGTAAAATAAAGATAAAAATATAATTTATTTATACAGGGTTGCCATAACAATTTAACTTTATTTTTCCCTGACTTTTCCCTGATTTCCAAACACAACATTGACTTTTTCCCTGACCCTAAAGAATATTCTGACTCTCTCTAAAAATTATTAGATACTCAAAAAAAAGTTCTATTCAATTTATTTACAAATTTCTTCAAAAGTAAAATTATTCGAAAACATCAATAGTTTTATTTAAAATAAATATTTAATCATTTTTTTTTCATTGGAATTAAGAGGTTCAAAAATTTCAAAGACTGACAAAATTATTATTTTATTATTATAAGAATATTGTTACTGCAATTTCTTCAAAATTATTTTTATCATTTGAATTCAATTAACATTTTCTAGAATTTTTAACTAAAATTCTACTTTAAATCAATAACATCAATTATTATTCAATTAAACATTTTCAAAAAAAATTAATTCTATAGAATTGTTAGTTAAAAGTACGAAAAATAATAATTTAATTCCACGAGAAATCAATTATTTAAATACAAAAATAAATAATATTGAATGTTTCTTAAAATTTAATTTTTACGAAGAATTGTATTAACAACTTTTGAAAATATTTAATTTCTTTTAAGGAATTTAATTAAAATTTTAATGAAATTTATTATATTAAAGAATTTTATAACAATTTTTGAAAATAATTGAAAACTTTTTGAAGAATTTTATTAAAATTTTTTTAAAATAATTGAATTCTTGAGAAGAATTTAAATAATAATTTTTGAAAACAATTGAATTCATGAGAAGAAATTTATTAAAATTTTTGAAAATAATTGACTTTTTGAGAAGAATTTTTAAAAAATTTTTGCCAATAATTTAATTCTTGAGAAGAATTTCCCTATCTATTTATAAAGATAATATTTAATCTTGACGAGAATTTTTTAAAAATTTTGAAAATAATTTAATTTTTGCAAAGTATTTTATTACTTTTCAAAAGAATTGAATTTTGATATTTATGAAAATAATTGAATTTTGGAAAAGAATTTTATTAAAATTCCTTAGAATAATTGATTTTATGGGAAGAATTTGTGCGATTTTCTTATTTATCAAGCTAATTGAATTCTTTTGCAAAATTAATTAAAAATTTTTGAAAATAATTGATTTTCTGCGACGAATTAAATGTTATTTATGAAAATATTTGAATTATTGCAACAAATTTTATTGTTATATTGAATAATTGAATGTTTCTTAAGATTGAATTCTTTCCTCAAGTTTTAATAAAATTTTTAATAATAATTGCATTTTTCCAGGAATTTATTTAAAATTGTACTAAAAATATTTAAAATTCTGCGATGAAAATAATTGAATTCGTAAATGAAATTATATTATTTATGAAAATAATTGAATATTTTCGTAGAATTGTTTAAAAAAGTTTTTTCTATAATTAAATCTGTTGATAAATTTTTTGAAAATAGTAAATATTTAAAAACATTGAATTGTGAAAAACTTTTGAAAATAATTGAAATTTTGCAAAGAAGTTTATTTAAATTTTTGAAAATAATTGAATTTTTGTCGAAAAATTTTGCTATTTGGAAAGAAAATAAAAAAATTATTAGGTATTATTATTATTTTTTTTTATTTATTTTTTTTTGAATTCTTGACGAGATATTCGTTCAAATTTTTCAAAATAATTGAATTTCTTCGAAGAATTTTATTACTTTTGAAAATAATTGAATTCTTGGGATGAATATTGTAATTTATGAAAATAATTGAATTTTGTACAGAACTTTATTAAAATTCCTAATAACTATTGAATTTCTGTGAAGAATTTTGTTATTTATCAAGATAATTGCACTTTGCTAAATTTGATGTAAATGCATCATTAAAAGATAAAAGAAAAAAATAGGGTAAATTTTCAAAATAGAGTACGTTTAGGGGCCAAAATTAAAAAAAGGGACTTTTAGGGAAAGAGGGGACAGACTGTGAAGCCTGCAATTACTTTTCTACGCTAAAAAAGAGAAATATTGAAATTAAAATACATACTCGAGAATTTCCAGGTACAACGTTGTGGCATAAATTTTGAATATCAGTCTCACAGGCTTTTTGTAAAATTGGATCAAAATGAATATTTTCTCTTTGCTGATATAATTGTGCCTTCAATTGTTGACGACAATTTTTTTTAATACGTGGTTGATTTTCTTTCATTACATCCTCTTGAATAATTGAACTCAAACATTCAATCACATCGGCGCTTGTTCTCGCTCTAAAATCAATAATTCATCTTGAGACAACAATCCCCAAAAAAAAAAATTAAACTTAAATTTTTTATTTGCTTTAAATTTATTAAATTTTTAATTTTCAAATTCTACTTACTTTCGACAATATCTTAAAACGTAAGATCTGCATGCTTCGTTAAGCTTGTAAGTAAAATGATAGCTCTTGAGGGAAATTAATTGAAAATGTTCCACTGCTGCTTTGCATTTGTAATCCGTTGTTTCTAAATCATTTTTGTGCTCTATTAAACACTCCATCATGTCACCTTCATCCTTGCCACGTTTGAAAATATCCTTTGAACATTAAATATTAATAATTAAGAGGCAAAAATTGATAATATGAAAATATAAAAATTAAGCAAATAAATTGAGTAGAAAAATATTTGAAAACATTTTATAAACACTTATTTACCTGGCAATAATGTTCAATAATTCGAGAGCAAGCATTTGTAATCAGTGGATTGAGTTCAACTTGTTCCGCTTGTTCTTCCGTAAAATTGCCAACAGCATCCTTACACTTTACACTCTTAAGGCTATAAAAAATATAATCATTATTAATTAATAATGATATTTGTTAACATTTGTTAATTACTTGTTAATTATTATTAATTGCTAATATACCAATTTACTTCAAGATTACTTAGTAATCAAGCCTCGGATATTATGACTTTTTCGACTTTTTGCGACTATTTTCAAATTGAGCGACTTTTATCGATTCATATTAAAAAATTACGATTTTTTCGACTTTTGTTACAAATTTTGCGACAAAATACCATATTTTATTATTAAATGCAACTTATTTCGATTTTTATAGTGTGGAAAGCATAACTATAGACAAATCTTTGGAAATTTATTTTGGAATACTTTTTCTAATTATTAAATTTTTGAAATATACAATTAAAAAGATTTTGAATAATTTAAATTTTGTAAAATTTAATTGAAAATAAATCATTTTTTTAAGTATTTTTATTATTTTTGAAAATTAACTTTTAAAAAATTTTAATTGATAATTTTGGAAATAATTGAATTCTCAAAAATCTATCTTCTTCTATATATTAATAATCGTTGCATATTTTCTTTTTAAATGTTTTCAATTTTTAAATTAATGTACTGAATTTCATTGACTTCTTGCAAAGTATTTATCAAAAATTTTGAAAATAATTGAATGCTTTTGAGAGATTTCATTAAAATTGTACTGAAAATAATTTAATTCTTGGCAAGAATATTATTAAAATTTTTGAAAATAATTAAATTGTTTTGAAGAATTTATTTGAATTTTTTTTAATAATTTTTATTGGAAATTTTGAAAGTAATTGAATGTTATGAAGAATTTCTTTTAAGTTTCTAAAATAATCGCGTTTATTATTAATTGTAATTAATAATTTTATTAAAATTATTGACAGACAATTAAATTCTTTTAAATAATTTTATTTGTTTTCGTAAATGTAATTAACATTTTTTGAAGAATTTCTTTATAGGTATTTTGTAAAAATAGTGTAATTTTTTTTAGATAATTTTTACTGTAAGTTTTGAAAAATAATTAAAATTTACAAAGAATTTTATAAAAAAAAACTTTTGAGAACAATTGAATTTTTTAAGAAAAATTTTATTACAATTTAAAAAAATAATTGAATTTTTGGGGACGAATTTCACAATTTATAAAAATAATTCACTTGTTTCGAAGATTTTATCAGAATTTTTGAAAATAATTCAATGTTTTGAAAGAATTTTATTTAAAATTTTGAAAATAATTGAATTCAATCGAAAAATGTTATTAAAATGTATAAAAGTAATTAATTTTTCTTAAAAATTTTAGAAAAACTGTTGAAAATAATTCTAATAGTTTTAAAAATAATTGCATTCTTTCTAGAAATTTCATTAAAATTGTATTTAAAATAATTATATTCCTCCGAGGAATTTTATATTTTATAAAAATAAATGAATTCTTCCAAAAAATGTTATGAGAATAATAAAATTGTTTTGAAAAAAGTAAAATCTCGGAATTATTTCATTCTAATTTTTTAAAATTCAATTATTATTTTCAATATTTTTTATATTCAATATTTTCAATATTTCCGAAGATTCAAATACTTACACAAAAAAATTTAAGATTCAATTACCTTCGAACAAAGTACATTAAAATTTTAAAAAAATTTGAGAAATCATTTATAATTAAAATTCTTCAAAAATTTGATTATTATTTTATATTTTTTAAAAACTCAATTATTTTAAAAAAATTTTATCAAATTTCAATTATTTTTCAAACTAAATTTAAATTCTTTTTTAAAAGTTAATTTTACGAATTTCTTTATAAAATTTTTTGAAAATACTCTACCTTAATATCTTTAAAAAGAGAAATAAACGGTTTCAATTGTTGTAAAAAATTGAATTTTTGTATTTAAATAATTTAATTCTCGAATAACTTTCGGAAAATTATTAAAAATTGATTTAGAGATGAAGTTTAGTTAAAAATTGTAGAAAATTATTGAATTTTCGAAAGGATTATAGTTATAATTTTTAGAAATTACCTATTAAATTTTAGAAGTTGAAATTTTTAAAACTTTATTTCCAGTGAGAAAAGAAATAAGAAGTATTTAAATATTTATTTAGAAAAAATTATTCAAGTTTTAATAATTGAATTTAGAAATCAGTGAAGAATCAGGGAAACACAAAATAAAATTTTTGTGCCAACACTAAATTAAATAAACGACTTTTTCGACTTTTTTTTCTATTTTTAATCGACTAAAGCGACTTTTTTTGCTTGTTAAAGTCGATCCGAGGCCTAATTAATTCATAATTAATTTTTACTTATTTAAAATTTCATTTTAATTTCTATTATTTTCTCATTAATGGAGAATTAATTTCGGACAAATTTGTAGCATAATATTCTAATTATATACTTAATTGTTTATTTTTTAATTTTTATAGCTAAAAAAATATTTTAATATTTTAATATCTAGTATTTAATATTTATTTATTTTAATCTTTTTAATATTTATTTAATAATAACTTTTTTATTAGGATTTCAAATTATATTAGTCATTAAAGCACGATTTTATGAAATGCATTTATAATACATCTTTAATGTCCATTTTGATTTTATGCTTGAAAAAGAAGAATTAAAAACAAAAGGTTTTAAAAGAAAATTTCTAAATGAATTACAAAGAGATACATTTGTTAGCAAATTTCTTTCTACGCATTTCAAATTAAAAGTCAATATTTTTTTCTCATTCGAAAGAATAATTTCCAATTTTTAAAATTTGGAGTAATTATCAGATAAAGAAGAAATTGGTTACTAGATAACGATTCGAAAAGAGTGAAACTTTTAGTAATAATTATAGTAAAAATTGACTTTATCACAATTGGGAAAACTAATTTGGATTATTAATTAATTAATTATACTTCTCGTAATTATCTTGAAGGCACAAAATTTCTTCTCCCCTTCCCGTTTTGTCGTAGCAAAATCCTGCGAGATCATTTAGACAAACATCCTCGATTTCTGGCAATAAATCGACGTTCATCGCTCTTTGTCGCATCACTCTTTTAATTTCTTCAGTACATTTTCTCTTTAGCTTTAGGAAAAACAAGAATTTTTAGAATGGAAATCTTTTTAGGTTAAAATAATATTTATTTATATATAAAAATCTATTATTATTATTATTATTATTAGATATTACTAGAATTAAATACATGCATATTTTGACTCAATTAATATTAATAATTAATATTAGGTATTATAAGAATAATTGTACAATAGGAATTCTGACAGTTTTTTTCATTTATTTCTAAATAATCAGAATTTCCTTCAAAATCGTGATTAAAAAATAAGAAATTATGCAACAAATTTTAAACTTTTTTTTAATTAATACTTGAAATAATTTTCGAATTTTTTTTTACAAATAAATAAAAAAAACCTGCATAATTTTGATTTGTCAAAAATTACAATAGTTTTATATTACGTTTTACAAAATTATTACATTTTTTTTAAATAAGGAAAAAAATTTACATTGTTTCTCTTTCTCATTTAAAAACTTGTCACGACAAAGCAAAAAATGAAATCAATAATTTTTTTACATTAATAAACAATTTTCTGTATTAATAAAAAAAAATGTGAAAAGTATAAATTCTAGGTCGATTATTAAAAAAATACTAAATAAATAATTCTTATTAAATAATTTGTAAAAAGAATTGTCAATTTTTTATTGATACTTATTAAAAAATTAATATTGAAATTTTGTTAAAAAATTGTAATAAAGAAAAAGAAATTATGCAAAAAAATACTAAAAATTTTGTAAAAATAAAGAGATTGACAAATCAAAACTATGAATTTTTTTCATTTATTTTATCAAAATCTTTTTAAATTCTCAGCTTTATTTTCAATTAATAATTGTGATTGACTAATCGAATAGAAGAAAATGTTTGCTTATTTATAATTAAAACTTGGAATTTTGCTAAAAAATTGTAATTAGGAAATATAATTGTTCGAAATTTATTTCTTAAAAAAAATTTAAGAACAGGATTTTGTAAACCTAAAAATTGTAATTATAAAATAGAAATTATACAAATTTTTGTCATGAATTTGAAAAAAAAACTATAATTTTGTTAAAAACTGTCATTAAAGAATAAAAATTTTGGATAAAAAAAATATGATTAACAAATCAAAATTATGACAATTTTTTGTTTTATTTTATAAAAGTCTTTTAATATTTTCAATTAAATATTGTGATTGACAAATCGAATTTAAAACAAAATGCTCTTTCATTTATAAGAAAACTTGGAAATTGGAATTGGAATAAATTTGCTAGTGATAAATAGAAAATATGAAATTTAAATATTCAAATTTTTAAAAGATCTTGAAAAGTTTCAAAATAATATTTTTCTTCTTCTTTAATTTTTGGTAATTATGACAAAAGTAGTATTTTTCAAGGAAAAAATTTTTTTTAATAAAAATTTTTTAATCGTAAAAATGCTTTAAAAATAGTGAAATTAAAAATTTTGAGTTGTCAAATTCTTAATGAATATAAAAATAAATTTTCTATGAAATTAAGATTGAGTTTTAAAATATTTCATTTCTGTCAAAAAATAGAATTTGAAAAATAGTAAAAAAAATTTTTTAACCAATTTCTTTATGATCATCGAACTCGTATCAAAAAATTACTATAAAATTGATTGTCAAAGATTTAATACTTCATATAGCTAAAAATTTTGTCTCAGTCTTCCCTTAATTATTTAATTAACCTAATAATAATTGTTACAAAAACAAAAAAATTTATTTATTTTTAATTCTAAAAGTCTAATTAATTTTTTTTTCGCTGGAAAATGGGAAAAACGGTTTGAAATTTTAAGGTATGACAAAATGTAATTTTTAATGTTTATAAAATGAAAATTTTCATGAGAAATCAAAATGTTATAAAATGAATAGAAAAATTGTAGTTTTAACTTTGCTGATTGAAAAGCTCTTACCGTCATATTTTTTTGCGGATGATTAGCGTAACGATGTAAACAAGGTAAAACGAGAGGACCTCTCTCAGGGTCCATTTCAGTTCCATCATTTGACCAAGCACTCTTTGCATGACAGAAGTGAATAGCGTCTGATTTGCAGGCTCGATACAATTGTGGATCAAGTTTATAATCTCTGGCGACGAAATATTGAATTTGAATAAGAGCTGCTTCACAAGGCTCTGTCATTCGACCGGTACCCAAATTTTCCATCAGGCACGATATCACTCTGGCGTTACCTCCTTGGATCTAAAAAAATGCATTTTGCAAATATTTAACAATTACGAGCGTATTTCATAAAACGCATTGGTCCAGAATTTTTTATTTACTCTAAACGTTCAAGTGTACGAAATCTTCTGTCGATATAAATATTTTCAAACAATTATCGAGTGGAGTAAAAAGCAAAAATTTGAATTAAACATATTTAGAGATTTTAAAATTGAAATCATCATCGTTATTCATTTTTATGGAATTGTGCATTGTAATTATAAATTTGTAATATTCATTCTTACATTGTTTCCACAAGCCATACTAACAACTGGCTGACATGCTTCCCTCAAGACTGGATCAATTCTCCAGTCCTCACCAATATCAGCTTCCTTTATGAGTGTTTCCAACTAAAATACAAAATTTAGATAATTAGTAAAAATTAATCAAAATTTTAGTAAAAATAAAAAAAATCAGTTTTCTGTTTCTTATAAATATTCATTTTTAAATTACTATTTGCAGTAATTTTTTTCTTTTTTCTATTGGACAAGTATAATCTAAAATAAAAACTGTCACTTCACCACTTCAATTTTTAGATAATTTTAAATCATGGCAGGGTTGTCACGCTTTTCCTCATGTCAAAATTCCCTAACTTTTCCAGGTTTTCCAGGTTAAAAAATGGAATTTTTCCAGGTTATCATTATTATTTTTTTACAGAAATTAAAATTCTCAAAAATTTTAAATTCAAATAAGAATATTATTATAAAACAAGAAGATATCGATTACTCCGAGTCTTCGACTCAGAGTGATCGCTTTCTTCATGTTTTATAATAATTAGAACTTGATACTATCATTATTTTATACTTACTATAAAAATATTATTACTGTAATTTCTTCAAAATTATTTTCATTTCAATTCAATAATTCATTTCTAGAATTTTTAACTAAAATTCTCCTTTAAATCAATTATTTTTAATAATTTTTGAAAAAGTTCTTCTTTGGGAATTTTCAAATCCATTTGTTTACAATTCAATTTTACCTAAAATTTCGATTATTCTGACATTCTTCAATGAAATAAATAATTAGAAATTAAAAACTTCAAATAATTAAAAAAAAAATTCCATTGAACTTTTTGAGAAAAATTAATACTAAATTTCCTTAAAAATCTTATCAAGAATTTAATTATTTTTATAGATAATAAAATTATTCGCAGGAATTCAATTATTCTCAAAAATTTGAATAACATTCTTCGAAATAATTCAATTATTTTCAAAATTGATAAAATTCTCAGCAAGAATTCAATTATTTTCAAAAATGATAAAATTCTTCGTATAAATATTCAATTAAATATATATTACAAAAAAAACTTCAAGAATTAAAGAAAAATTCAATTAAACTTTTTTAAAAAAATTAATTCTACAGAATTGTTAGTTAAAAGTATGAAAAGTTCAAATTTTCCAAGATTTTAATTTGAAACCATTTTAAAATTCAATTATTTCTAAAAATTTACGCTATATTGCTTTCAATATTCAATAACAATCTAAAATTTCAACTGAAATTCATTTATAAATCAATATTTACTAACAAAAAATCCATGAGAATTTAATTATTTAAATACAAAAATAAATATTTTATTAAATAATTGAATGTTTCTTGAAATTAAATTTTCATAAAGAATTTTATAAACAAATTTTTAAATAATTGAATTCTTTTATGAAATATTATTGAAATAGTAGACATTGAAAATAATTTTATTTTGACAAATTTTTGAAATTGAGCCTTCCAATTCTATAACTCGCCCGACGCTCGGGCTGGTTTCTCTTATGACAGTCAGGGCTGTAAAAAAAATAAAAAAATGAAAGTTGAAATTTTTAACTTTTAAATACACTACCATACAAAGCATAAAAATGCGCAACTATTTTTCCTTTGACATTTTTTTCTAGGAATTATATTGTCAATAATAATGGACAAAAACTAAAAAATTGTGATTTTTCAATTTAATTAAATTTCGAAACATAAATCGTCATATTTTGAACAAATCTGCATGAAATTAATTGATATTTGGTACACTTACTGATTCAGGTCTATAGATGACGACAAAATGATAAAAAATTTAAAAAAAGCTATTGTTTTTTTATTTTGTAATAAAAATAGTGGTGTGTCGGTAAAAACGGTTTCTCAACTTCAATGAAAAAAAGTATGCGGTGAAGTTTTAAGTTAAAGGAACTTTCAGTGAGAAAGTTGTTTATTAATATGTAATGAAGTTTTCTGGAAGTTTTTAGACTGATTCATTCAAAATTAAGCGAAATATGGACCATTTACCAAAATGCGCCACGCCGCGTATTGACAAATTTCGCCGCTGTGTGAGCCGCTGTGGCAATGGCGTAGTGAACACGGCGTATTTGTCAACAAAAAACATGTGTTTTTTGTTAACTTTACTTAATAAATATATATTCTTTAATATAATGTAATAAACAAATAAATATAAATAAAATTTAAAATTCTTAAAATGAACAATATTTTTTTTATTAATTTATGATTTAGTAATAATAATACTGAATAATAATTTAATACAATATATTTTACAGTAAAACATTATTTTTTTAAATTGATTTCAGGTTTTATTGTTTAATTTTATATATTTATTTTATTTTTGTGTTTTTTTATGTGATTTTTTAATAATTATGAATTAATAAAAAAATTAATGATTAAAATTAAATTAAAATTTTATTTATTTATTTATTACATTAAAATAAAAAATTATGTATTTATTAAGTTTTTTTACTAGTTTTCGATTTGGACATGATGCAAAACGTAGACGTAAAAATACGTTGAGCTTATTTCGTTGTAAATTCTTTGCCACGAAAATAAAACACTAAAGAAACATGAAAACTAAAAACTTTTGTTGTCAATCTATAAAATAAGCACAATTTAAAAACCCTTTAGCATTTTATCTAAAACAATTTTTGACTCACATGTTTTTTGTTTACAAATACGCCGTGTACACTACGCCATTGACACAGCGGCTCACACAGCGGCGAAATTTGTCAATACGCGGCGTAGAGCATTTTGGTAAAAAGTCCATATTTCGCTTAATTTTGAATGAATCAGTCTAAAAACTTCTACAAAACTTCATTACATATTAATAAGCAACTTTCTCACTGAAAGTTCCTTTAACTTGAAACTTCACCGCATACTTTTTTTCATTGAAGTTGAGAAACCGTTTTTACCGACACACCACTATTTTTATTACAAAATAAAAAAACAATAGCTTTTTTTAAATTTTTTATCATTTTGTCGTCATCTATAGACCTGAATGAGTAAGTGTACCAAATATCAATTAATTTCATGCAGATTTGTTCAAAATATGACGATTTATGTTTCAAAATTTAATTAAATTGAAAAATCACAATTTTTTAGTTTTTGTCCATTATTATTGACAATATAATTCCTAGAAAAAAATGTCAAAGGAAAAAAAGTTGCGCATTTTTATGCTTTGTATGGTAGTGTATTTAAAAATTAAAAATTTCAACTTTCATTTTTTATTTTTTTTACAGCCCCGACTGTCGTTAGAGAAACCAGCCCGAGCGTCGGGCGAGTTATAGAATTGGAAGGCTCAATTATTAAAATTTCTAGGAAGAATTTTATTAAAATTATTTTGAAAAAAATTGAATTATTACAAAGAATTTTATTAAAATTTTTGAAAATAATTGAATTTTTTTGAATAAATTTAATTAAAACTTTATAGAAAATAATACTTAAATTCTAATAAATAAATAGTAGCAAAGGTTTTTAAAATAATTGAATTTCTTTGAGGAATTTTAATAAAATTTTTAAGAATAATTTCATTTTTCGAGGAATTCCATTAAAATTGTATTAAAAATAATTGAAAGTCTGCGATGAGTTTTATTATTTATGAAAATAATGAAATGTTAACGTAAAATTTTATTAAAATTTTTTTTAAATAATTAAATTCTTTTGGATAATTTTATTAAAGTATAGTAGATTTATTAAAAATCATTGAATTGATAAAAGTTATTGGAAATAATTGAAATTTTGCCATAAATTTTATTAAAATATTTGGAAATAATTGAATTTCTCAGAAGAATTTTACTACTTTTGAAAATAATTGAATTTCTGCAATCATTTGTAATTACTTCAAAATTCAATTTCTTTTAGTGTTTTTAATTAAAATTCTTCTATTAAACGTATCAAAATATTTTTTTTTTTGAAAGAATTTAAAAATACGGACTTTAGGTACGAACGAAACGTATCAAAATATTTTTTTTTTGAAAGAATTTAAAAATACGGACTTTAGGTACGAACCAAAAATGAAAAATTACGACCATTTACAGAGCAATTACTGATGAAAATATAACCAGTCCGAGTCAAATAAAAGAACATTTTACTTCAATTATTATCTAAAATTTTAACTGAAATTCATTTTTAATTCAATTTTTAAATTGATTAAAATTTTTATTATAGTCAATTCTACTAGAATTCAATTATTTAAATACAAAAGTAAATGGTAGGTGGTCATTCTTTCTAAATAATATTTTCTAATCCTATTTTTCTAAAAAAAGCGAAAATTGAATTCTTATAAAGATTATAAAGATTTTTATCAAAAAAAAAATGTTTAAATAATTGCATTCATTTAAGGATTTTTTATAAAGATTTTTAAAAATAATTACATTTTTCGAGGAATTTGATTAAAATTGTATTAAAAATAATTGAAATTTTAATTTTATTATTTACGAAAATAATTGAATCCCTGTAAAAATTTTATTATTTATAAAAATAATTGAATGATTGCGAAGAAATTTATAAATACATTTGTAAATAATTCAATTTATGTGAAATTTTTATTATTTCATGAAAATAATTAAAGGTTTGCGTAGAATTTTTTTAGAATTGTAGAAAATTTTTGAAAATAATTGAAATTTTGCCAAGAATTTTATTAATTTTTAAACATAATTGAATTTCAGAGAAGGATTTTATTATTTATCAAGATAATTGAAATTTTTATGAAAACTTTTTTAAAATTTTTGATCGTAATTGAATTTCTGCTAAGAATTTTATTACTTTTGAAAATAATTGAATTTATGCAATCATTTCAAACTTTTTCAAAATTTCCAAAATTATATCGTACAATTTACGAACTTTTTGTATTATCTCAATCAAATGACGGACTTTGCGGACCTTTTTTCAAAAAAAAAACTGATTTTTATGGATTTGAAGTAAATTTACTGACTTAATTTTTAAGAAAAAATTGAAAATAATTTTTTTCTCTTAATAAACAAAATAATACCAAATGATATTTTTTTATTTTAAATAGTACATATGAGTACCGAAAAATACTGAAAATTTTGAAAAAAAAGATGGCATTTTTGCGAAAAAATTTTTTTTTTCCAAAAATTGAATTTTTATCGTTGTTTTTCATTATTTTTCATTTTGCGTAATTTTTGCATAATTTTTGCATAGGTGTATAAAAAAAAGAAAAAAAAATTAGCGCAAGAGCAACAAAAAAGGTTGAAAATTAAAAAAAAGTATTTTTTTTGCTAAAATCTTAAAATTTTCAGCTATTTTTAAATAAGTATGTTTTCTATTTGTTTTCGTGTATTTTCTAATTGTTGTCACGAATAATGAATAATAATAATAATTAATAATTAATTAATAATTAATAATTAATCACGAATAATAATTTTCATTTAAAAGCCATCGAATTAAAGATTAAAAGTTGTAAATATTTTCTAAATAAAATATTAATAAATATTTATTACCGCTCTCTGACATTCTGGCGATATTCTAAATCTGTTATTCTTGTAACGTGCATTGTCCATTAGACAATGAATCGTTTTGCCGCCAACTTCCAAACCTGAGCAAAATGTCGAAATATCCGTTGAGCAACGATCAACAATTTCCGGCGACAAACGATAATCGTTCATCAACATTTTTCGATGATCAAATATTTCTGCTTTACAGTCCTGTGAAATTTTACTGCCATTCTTTTCCGCCGACTCCAAGCAAAGTAAAATTTGTGCGAGTTTTATTTCCCTGTCATTTGAAACTGAACGTCGACAATGGTTTTGCTTAATATCCTCACGACATGCCTTCACCAAACCTTTGCTCACTTTATAATCCAGCACCATGAGTTGTTCGCGTCTTATCAATTGCTCCTGACATCCTTTTGACATTGTTCTATGCATTTTATGTTGCATTAGACATTTTATCACTTGTCCACTTCCTGGTCTCACTTGTGGACACAATTGCATTTGCTCGCGGACACATGCAATATGAAGTTGGCGATCTAAATTAATATTTCCCGATTGAATTTCGGAAATTAGAAATATTCTCTTTCGACAGATATTCTCTAATTTATCGGCGTGCTGCTGTAAACAGGCGAGAATTTCACCCTGAGCAATATCCTTGCTCGATTGTATTCGTCCGCATTTAAATTCTTCAATATCGTGTTGACAATCCGATAAAAATGGTGCGATTATTCGAAAATCACTAAATGCCAACCATTCCCATCGTTGGATAAAATCCAAGCAATGAACTCCTCTTATTTGATCTCTTTTCTCTATTAAACACGATAGAAATGATCCGGGAATATTTGAAGGGCAATTTAAATTATCCAATTCATCGCCACAAACTTGTTTCGCTTGTTTTTTAATATTATCATTGTCGGAAATATTCATCATGTGTTTGAATATTGAATGCTGGCATTTTGAATCGATTGTCGCAATCTCGTTGGGCTGAAAAATATTATTATTATTTATGTTTGAAAATAATTCTTCTGCACCTAATTTAAATATTTGAAATGTTGAGTTAATATTTCTACAGGGTTGTCACAGGTACTGGAAAAAATTTTATTTTATAAGAAAATTCTGAATTTTGGTCATTTTTGTTTGAATCAATAACTATCAGGGTTGCCACGCTTTTGCCCATTTTAAAATCCCTGACTTTTACAGGTTTTCCAGGTTAAAGAACGGAATTTTTCCAGGTTTTTAAAACTACATTTATATTTTACAAAATTTTTAATTCAAACCTTTTTGAAATTAAAAATCTTATAAAAAATTGTTATAAAACATGAAAATATCGATAACTCGTGATCGATACCTATCTTCATGTTTTATAATAATTAAAAATGACCGACTGATAAAATCATTATTTTATATTATAAGAATATTGTTACTGCAACTTATTCAAAATTACTTTCATCATTTTCATTCAATTATGGTTTTCCAAAATTTTTAACTAAAATTCTTCTTTAAATTAATTATTATTGATTATTATTAATAATTTTTAAAACATTTCTTTCAACATTTTCAAATTCTTTTGTTTACAATTCAATTTTACGAAATTTCATCGATTATTCGGAAGTACTTCAATCAAATATATATATATATATATTAGAAAATAAAAACTTGAAATAACTTTAAAAAAATGCAATTGAACTTTTACAAAAAAATTAAATCTACACAATTTTAAGTTAAAAGTATGAAAAATTCAAACATTCAAAGATTATAATTTACAACCTTTTCAAAACTCAATTATTATCTAAAGTTTTAAATGAAATTCATATTTGAATCAATTATTATTAAAAAAATTCTACGACAATTCAATTATTTAAAATAAATACAAAAAAAATAATTTATTGAAGAATTTGATGTTTTTTAAAATTGAACTCTCATTTAAAGAATTTCAATGAAATTTTTAAGAATAATTTCATTTTTCGAGAAATTAGATTAAAATTGTATTAAAAATAATTGAATTTCTGTAAAAAATTTGATTGAATTGAGAAAAGTTTTTGAAAATAATTGAAATTTTGTCAAGAATTTTATTAAAATTTTTTTTAAATAATTGAAATATTGCCAAGATTATTATTAAATTTTTTAAAAATAATTGAATTTTGAAGAAAACTTTTAATATTTATAAAAATAATTGAAATTTTGACAATAAATTTTTTAAACTTTTGATCATAATTGAATTTCTGCGAAGAATTTTATTACTTTTGAAAATAATTGAATTCTTGAGACGAATTTTTTAATAATATTTCTTTTTAAATACCTAATTATTTTTAATACAAAAATAAATAATTTATTAAATAATTGAATGTTTCTCAAAATTGAATTCTCATAAAGAATTTTATGAACAAATTTGTAAATAATTGAATTCATTTGACGAATTTTAATAAAATTTTAAGAATAATTACAATTTTCGAGGAATTCTATTAAAATTGTATTAAAAATAATTGAAATTCTGCGATGAGTTATATTATTTATGAAAATAATTGAATCTCTGTAAAAAACATTTGATTATTTATGAAAATAATTAAATTATTGCGAAGATAAATTGTAAAGGCAACTCTTTTAAAACTGAATTAAGAAATTTGAATTAAGAAAATTGAATTAAAGAAAAATTAGATTTCAAGAATAAGCACAATAACTTTAGAAAACAATAATTTTACAGGATTCCAATCAAGATTCCCTGACTTTTCCAGGTTTTTTCAAGTTTTATAAAATTCCCTGACACTTCCAGATTTCCAGGTTTCCAGGTTGCGTGGCAATCCTGACTATGAAATTACAATGAAAACCTTCAATTTTTTCTATTTCTGTCAATAATTTATTTTTAATAACTTAATTCTTGAAGAACTAGCATAAATTAAACTTTAAAAAAGTTTACTTATTAAGCACATAATTAATAATTATTGTTTATATTTTCAATTCAATTATTCAATTCAATTATTTTCATAAATAATAATATTCTTCGGAAAAATTTAGTTCTTTTTATAAATAATAAAATTTTTTGCAAAAATTCAATTATTTTCAACAAAATTTTAATAAATCTTTCAAAACAATTCAATTGTTTTTTAAAATAGTAAAATCTTTGCAAAAATTCAATTATTATCAATAAAATTTCACGAAAGAATTCAATTTTTTTCTTAATTCGTTATAAAATTTTTCAAAAGAATTCAATTATTTTTTAAAATTTTAATAAAATTCTTCCCAAAAATCCAATTATGTTCATAAAAAGTAAAATTCTTTACAAAATTTCAATTATTATTAAAAAAAACATATTTTTTTAATAAATATTTAATTAATTATTAAAAATAATGGATTTATAGAAGAAATTTAGTTCAAAACATTTTTAAAAAATTGAATTTTGGAAAAGTTTCAAATTAAAATCTTTGAAAATCTGAATTTTTCATACTTTTCACTAACAATTCTTTGGAATTAATTTTGTTGAAAAAGTTTAATAGAATTTTTTTTTGAAATTATTTGAAGAACTTTCGAATACTCGAAATTTTGTATAAAATCGAATTGTAAATAAATGGATTTAAAAATTTTCAAAGAACTTTTTCAAAAATTATTAAAAATAATTGATTTAAAGAAGAATTTTAGTTAAAATTTCTAGAAAATAATAATTAAAATGAAGTGATGACAATAATTTTGAAAAAGTTACAGTAACAATATTCTTGAATTTAAAAAAAGGTTTGAATTTGAAATTTTGGAAAATCTTCATTTTTATGGAAAAATAATAATGATTAAATATTTATTTAAAAATGAAGTTATTTTATGTTTATTGATGTTTTTGAATAATTTTAAAATTAAAGAAATTCTTAAATAAATGATGGAACATTTTTTTTAGTATCTAATCATTTTGAGAGTGAATGAGAATATTCTTTAGGGTCAGGGAAAAAGTCAAAATTTTCTCTGAAAATCAGGGAAAAACGAAATTAAATTTTTGTGGCAACCGTGTTCTTGTAAATAAATTGCATTGATAAATAAAAATTAAATGTTAGTAAGATATTTTTTAAAAGTAAATAATTGTTGTCGCAATTAGTATATTCTGATTTGGACTTTTAAGGTTAGGTTCAAAAACAGGTGAGAAGGAATTTCAAACTATTCTAATGAATAGAAAAATATTTCAAGTAAATAATAAATAAACATAAACCTTTAAAGATTGTAGACACTCCCATAGTTGCATATCGTCATTATGTGAATCAGTATTACCACAAAGTCGTCGGAGATCATCCCGGCATAAAGGATCATCAAATAGGTTATGATTTTTCTCTTGATTATTATTTACGCTATTTTGTTGTACAACATTTCGTCTAATTCTTCTCATCGAAGATTCATCATGAAAAATCCATCCAACTTTTGACGATTGTTCAAAATTGTTATTTTTAGAAACACTACCATCATTAATTGTTGTTGTATTAACACCGTGTGAAATTAAACAATGTACTGTCAGAATTAAAAGTACTTTAAAAAATTCTTTAAAGCCCCTCATTTTTTTAACGAAATAAACTTAAATTTTTATTATTAATAAGTTTAAACGTGGTTTAAACGTTAATTCTATACAATATATTCATAACACTTGTTTGGATTTTGCGTTTTGACACTTGACGATGAGAGTTAAAAGAATATTATTATCACAGTTGTATAAAAATTAGTGCCAAACTACCAATGGTGTTTTGCCACGATTAAATGCACATTCTTCGAAATTATTATTAAAAAAAAATGTTTCCGCTTTGCATTTTGTAATATATATACAAACACAACAAACTTAAAGGGAAATTTATGATTACTGGCCACATCCGCATATCCGGGTTATAAAACTGTCAAGTGAATATACAATATTAATAATTAATGCAAATTTTTTATTAATAGAAAGAAGAATTATTTTTTTAATTGAGTAGTAGTTGGTTATTAATCTTTCTTAGTTAATAAACTATTACATGCTTTTTTTAATTTTTTTACAAATTAAAAACTTCTTTTAGTTCCTTAAATTCTCCACTAGGGACATTGAGATCGTTTAACCAACAGAGAAACATATCTTTATTTTTTAATTATAATTTTTGTTCAAGATAACTACTACAAAATAAAAATAAGAATTTTTCGACATTTTTTGATAAAACAGTTGTATAAAAACAATAAATTTTATTTAAAATAACTAATATTGATTAGATTGAATAATTTTTATTATCGCGTTTTTGAGAAGTTACAAGAGATGGCGCCACAATGTAGTTAATAGTTAATAGGAAAAGAATAATCTTCTTCTCCTTATACGACTCTTTGTCAATACAAGGTGACAGAATCCAGATGCTTTTAATTAATAATTTTAAAAACTTTAAGGTATTATTATCAGTGACGAATTTTGTCTTATTCACATAATTTATTTTATCATAAAATTTAGAGATGAAAAATTTAAACCAATCAATTATTGTTTTTTCCTCTTATCGTAGAAAATAGCTTGACCCCCCCCCCACCCCGTTTCCCGTGAAGTGCCACGTGGTTTGTGGAGGACCCCTTATGTAAATAAATTAAAAATGATAGTATAGCTAGTCAGTTAAAATTTATTGCGCAGCCTGAGATTATTTAAAGAAATTATTTTCCAGATAGCACGTAACCTTGCGGCAATGTTGCCTCGCAATGTTGCACGATAATATTGCCGCAGAGGCGCATGATTATTCCCAAATGTCCGGCGCTGGTATGTTTCGCAGACTTATTTTTGTGCAATAATTATGGTTAGGTTTTTTTAAAGGATTGCAACAAAACTTAAATGGCATTTTTACGTTTTATTTAAATTAAGAAATGCTCATGTACTACAGGAAGAAAATAAAAAACAATTTCAAATAAACAAAATGTATTCACGAGCACATCACTTTACGAAAAAAACATGAAAAACTATACAGTTTGAAAAATTGTATTAACAGGTAACGAGAATATACGTCTTATTTTAAGAGGTTATTTTATAGAATAAAATACACACTTTGTTTAGGTTAATATAATTATGTGAACATTAAACAATAAATAGTAAGCTAGAAACATTTAACGTATCGACATAACGATAAAGAATGACAGCTTACCTGTGCGTGTCTACTGCGCAAGTCACGTCGCGCGCAACGGCTCATAGCAGTCTGCATGGCTCCACTAAATAATTTTTTTCTCAAAAACTATTATAGATACCAACTTTGTTAAGGTCTTAAATTTTTCAGGACATTATAAAGAATGTTCATGAATTTTTTGAAATAAATCAAAGATATACTTTTCGAATTATTTAAAAAATAAACAATTTTTTGTTAATAACAATTAAAATTTTTTTGGGTTAATATTTTTGTTTTAAAATGCTTGTAAATACGAGTAATTTAATACAAAACCCATCTCAATTGCTTTAAAATAACGGAAGTTATGATAAATAAAAAAAAATAATGCTAAAATTTTCAAAATTGAATAATTTGGAAAATATTTCAAATTTTTCAAAAATATTTGGTATTTCTTTTTTTTAACCCTTTAACTAACTCAAATTATCAATTTTATCAAATTTGCTCAAATAATCATAAAATGTTGTGATCAGTTGACGTGGACTCGCTCATATGATAAGTTGGTAGTTTTTGTAAAAAGTGTCAGTGTGCAGAAAAAAAATTGTTATAGAAATTAATAAAAAATGATTGCTTACAAATTTCACGTCATTTAAACCAATATATTAGTTCCGTTTCCGTTGGGTAAAACCGAAAGCAGAATTTTATGAGTGCAAGTGAGATAGTCAGATATAGCACCATCCTTTTCACTCTCATAAAAATCTGCATGAGTGCGCGTACCTACTGCGCATCGAATCGAATGATTTATCTTATTGTGGACTCAACCTCATGAAATTCTGTTTTTACTTTTATTTATACGTTTTCTACTCATCATGAGACTTTACCCTTGAAATAAGAAAAGATTCTTTTCTCAAATTTCGATTGAAATTTTAAATAAGGAGAATAATTATACCAAATTATTGAGAAATTGAAAATAATAATTTTTGCGTCCCTTTGATAGTGCATTTTGCTCGTGCCAATGAAAAGATAGTTGTAGAAACACCTTTAGATATTCTTCAGAGGTGTTCTGTCAGTTTCTAGTGTCAGTGCGAATTAATTATTATAATAATGTTATGTTAAGATGTGATTCCCAAAAAATACAAATTTCATTTTTTTTTTATTTTTTGCAATTCGTGAAAGCCGACAAACAGTCATTCGGAATTGTATGAAAAAAATTTTACCAATTAAAAGAAGTTTTTTATGGTTATGTTTCAGTTGTAAGCACTTCAGTTTAAGGTTATGTTTAGAAATTATTAAACCTCTTTATACTTTTTTAAAATATTTTAATGATTACATTATAATGAAATGTTTTTTCAAATATTTAAATTTTTTGGTTGGAATTTTACAGGTGCTTTTAATATTAGAAACACGTTGGAATTTTTGAACTCATTCGTTATCCGTTAACAATTATTTGACATAATGGAGAATTGATAAGTGACACTGGACGAAGACAACGGAACAAGACTTATTTTGTCGACCTCGTGAAAAAAGGTATTGTGTTTTGAATTTATGATAGTTTTCTTAAGGATACAGTGGATCTTTATTAGAGACACCTATTTCAATGATGCTTTGAAATTCATGAGCCCTTTTTATCTTCGTTTCCTTTCGGTATAATATTCAAAACTGTGTGCGACCCTTTTGAGTATATACTTTCCAAGGAAATTATCTTTTAAAAGGCGAACAGTTGACATATGAAAAATGTGACTTTTCATTTTTACAAATATTTAATTATTGAAAAAATGGTAAAGAGAATTTTTCAAAAGAGAATTTTTTCTATACCACAAGAATTATTCATTTTTATATAAATTATCTTGGGGTAGCATAAAAGTACTTTAAATTTTTTTTTTAAATTCTATAGGTATATTTTTTTGGAAAAAACAAAAAAAAAAAAGAAAATTTCTTTTTTTTGAAGAAGAAGATTTAATAAAAGTGTATAGAAGTGTATATAGAAGATTCAGTGTATACAAGATTAAATCTTCTATACACTGAAAAAAAATTAATTAATTTTATCGATTAATTGACTATTATCAATTATCATGAAAATAATTGAATTCTTGCGAAGAATTTTATTAAAATTTTTGAAAATCCTAATTAAATTCTTTTGAAGAATTTCTTTAAAAATTTTAATTGAATATTTTGGAAGTAATTCAATTTTATAAACATTTTCTTTCAAGTTTTTAAAATAATCTTGTTTCTTAATAAAATTGAAATTAAACATTTAATTATTGAATTTTATTAAATGAGAAAATAATTAAATTCTTCTCACAATCAGAATTTTATTATAATTTTCTAAAATAATTTAATTCATTCAACATTTTTTTTAAATATAGAAACTAATTGAATTCTATCGAAGAATAGATAGATACTAATAAAAATTCCCACAATAATTGAATTATTTCAAAAAATTTGTTTAATTTATCGAATACAATCGATTTTGTAAATTGTAATTAATAATTTTACGATTAAAATTTTATTAAAAATTAATTATTAATTATTATTAATATTATTAATAGAAAATTAAACTCTTTTAAACAATGTTATTAGAGTTTTTGTGTAAATAATTGAATTCTTTTGAATAATTTCTTTTGAGTTTTTTTTTAAAATAATATACTTTTTTGAATAGTTTTAATTGAAAATTTTGAAAATAATTGAATTAAAAAAAGAATTTTTTTCAACTTTTTGAAATAATCGTCTCTGCTAATACTTTATAATTAGAAAATTGATTATTAAAATTTATTAAAATAGTAGTGAAAATATAATTAAAATTTTTTTTAAAATTGAATTCTTTCATGTTTTATTAAAATTGTATTAAAAGTAATTTAAGTTTTGCAAACATTTTTACTATTTATAAAAATAACGGAATTGTTTTGAAGAATTTATTAAAATCTTAGAAAATTGAATTCTTTCGTAATATTTTATTGAAAAATAATTGAATTTTTTTAAGGATTTTACAATTTAAAAAAATAATTGAATTCTTTCGTGAAATTTTATTAAAATTTTATTGAAAAATAATTGAATTTTCGTAAGAATTTTACTATTTAAAAAAATAATTGAATTTGTGCAAAAAATTTTACTATATTTATAAAAATAATTGAATTACTTTAAAAAATTTATTAAAATTTGAGAAAATGGAATTCTTTTGAAAAATTTTATAAGAAATTAAGAAAAAAGTTGAATTCTTTCGTGATATTTTATTAAAAAATAATTGAATTTTTGTAAGGATTTTACTACCTATTTAAAAAAATAATTGAATTCTTTCGTGAAATTTTATTAAAATTTTGTTGAAAACTAATAGAATTTTTCTTAAGAATGTTATTATTTATGAAAATAAATTGAATTCTTGCGAAGAATTTTATTAAAACGTTTGAAATTAATAAACAAGAATAATTAATTAGTAAATTAGTTAATAATTGAATTTTTTTAAAGTTTGAATATGAAATTATTCAAAAATTTATATTTTAAAATAAAAATTTTTTTAATTTGTATAATAATAATATATTGAATATCACACGTTCCGCGTGAGATGATTTTTGAGAATCAAGTTTAGAAAAATTTCAATTGCATATTTAAGCAATATTCTCGAAAAATTTTAATTAGAAATCTTCAAATGAAAATTGAAAGATAGAAATGAATAAAGTTTATGTTGAAAAATTAATTGAGCTGCTGGATCAAAGAAGGGTACATGACCCATTAAAAGTACATTGGTTATACGTTCTTCTATGATTCGGCAGCTCGATTAAAATTAAAATATTTTTAAAAAGTGATTACTATTTATTAAAATTCTATTATTTTCAATTATGTATTTTTGAAAATTCAAGTATCTATAAAATGTAATTATGTTAAAAATGTTTATAAAATATAATTTTTTAGAATTATTATTAAGATTATTATAATATATATATATAATAAT